GATGGGAGTGTCAGAGACAGTGCAGTTGGCACAGGACAGAGCAGAGTTTAGGGCTGTTGTACATAGGGTCGCTATGAGTTGCAAGAGACTCGACAGCACATAACAGCAACAACAACAGGTTGTACGTTCCCCAAGCCAGGGTATTTTTTTGGTTTTTGTTTTTTTTTAATTTTATTTTTTTATTATTATTTTGTGTGTCTGTGTACCATCAAATCAGATCTGACTGGTACAGGAGTATTTTTAAACTTTTGTTGTTGTCTGGTCAGAGTCAATTTATAGCTGACTGTCTAGCATGTTTACAATGACTAAATTGCACAAGAGGAGATTGCCCAGCTGTCTCCAGTGGAGCCACTGGTAGATTCAAATCACCTTTGGGTTAACAGTGCACCTCTCTGCAAACTTTTACAAAAGGGCCCTAGGTGAATAAAGAAGACTAGAATTGATAGCTTTAATATAGGGTGTTGGCACAGGATGTTGAATGTCCTATTACTGCTGGGGAACAGACAGCTCTCAGATGAAGTAATAGCCAGAATGCTCCTTTGAGCATTGAGGTGTTATCTCATATACTTTAAATGTGTTTTCAAGGGAGACCGGTACCTGGAGAAGGACATCATGCTTGGTGTATTAATTGAACTGTATCCTCCGCCAGTGTATGTGAATTTGGGTGGACCATTAGTCTTCATGGCTTGGCAGTTAGATAATGATGTAATCATCCCATGCTGTAATCGGCCAATTAGAAAGAAGTTATGATAGGACCCAGCATCCTTGCTCAGATCACAAAACAAGAGAAAGAACTTAATGAGATGGTAGACACAGTGCCTCTAACAGTGGGCTCAAATAGCTGTGATTGTGAAGCTGACACAAGGCCAGATTGTACAGAGGGGCACTATGAAGCAGAACTGCTTAGATTACACCAAACAACAACAGTAATTTGGGGCAGTTTTGGAGGTAGCTAGTGGAATGGGGGGGGGGGGGGAAAAACCCAACCAAAACAAAACCCAAAACAACTTTAGATGAAAAGGGGAAAATTTTTAACTAAGTCAACAACTTGAGAATATAACAAAAATGAAAATTTGAAAAAAAACTAAAATGAGAACATTACAGGTTTATTTTGTAAGAGATATGGTAATACTGACTATTACACTTTTAAAATGAAAGTAAAGATTTTTTAAAAAGAATACAATTCAAGATTAACTCTGTGAAGAACTAGATGAACATCAGATTCTTCCAGAAATTTTGTTTTACAAAAATTCACTTTATGATTCTTTTTTCCTCTCTAGATATGAAGCATCAACCGATGAATTGATTAATGAAGAGTTAGGAATAGCCTATCCTGTCATTGATGGCATTCCTAATATGATTCCACAGGCAGCCAGGATGATACATCAAAATAAGAAGAAAGAAGAAGAGGAACAGCACTAAACCATAGTTAAAAACATCAATACTAATATGATTTAAAAAGTCAGTGTGGTGGGGCATATGTGGAAGAGAAGAATGTTTCTGTCTCTTCCTACCTTGACTGTGCTGATTCCCCTGGTTTCTCTAACAGGACTGTTCTACTCAGCCTCTGTGGAAGATAATTTCCCTCAGGGTTGCACCAGCACAACCAGCCTATGCTTTTACAGTCTGCTCCTGCCAATCACCATACCAGTTTATGTCTTCTTCCACCTTTGGACTTGGATGGGTATTAAGCTTTTCAGACATAATTAATTAATACAACAATAGGCAAGATTGTATATATATTAATATGTCTTGGATTTCTTTCCATGGAAGTTCAATTAGATTGAAATATTGTAATCTCATTTAGTTTGGGGAAAAGATTTCTTGCCTTTCTATGTCAGAAGCATAAGGACTATGGAAAGCTTCAACTACAGAAGCCTTATTTATTGTACTCTTGTTTGCCCCATATTGTTTGAAAGCCCTAATCTAAAATATTAATTTCTATAGTAGAGGAAGTGATGTGTCTTGTTGATGCTTAACAGCCATAATCATTAGCTAATAACTATATTCTTTATCCTGTCTGCTCATTTGAAAGTTGGCCATTTGGAATATTGTTTGTTTAGATTCATTCTTTAAGTAACATGCTAGTAATGAATGAAAGAATTTCAAAAGAACTATACTAGAGTAGCTGTGAAGAAGCGCATTTGAACTAGTGTGATTTAAAAAACTACAATAAAATGGAAATTAATATATTTGGAAAAGTTTTGGTTTTCTCATATTACCTTCATTTCTTTGACATTTACTGTTTACATTGATAAGAAGAAGGTATTAACACTTTCTTGTGCAAAAATAGTTTATAGTAGTACTTTTTGTCGCAAATGTGGTAAAAGAGGAAAAATAAATTTTAAATGTAAGTTATACTTACTAAGGGAGCTCTAGTGACCTAGGAGTAAGAAACTGCTGCAATACAGAAGGAACCTGATTTGAATCCACCAGCTGATCTGTGGGAGAAATATGGACTTTTATTAACTGCAATTTTTTTATTAACTTATTAAATGCAATTAACTGCCTCCGAAAATGCAATGGAGAGACAGCTATGAATGAGTTGCTTCTGACTCTGCGTCACACAACAGCAACAACAACAGGCTATCCTTAGAGTTGAATTTAATACCTAAAATGCAACTGTTTTTAAGGAAAGTGGGCTTTACATTTGGGGGATAGAGGAACTTTAAGTAGTGATTATGCTTTTGTACTGCTGCTTATAGTTAGGACACATCTGAATCCTGTCCTATCCTGAGCTGTCATCACACTTTTCTGGCACATGTGAGCCTATTGCAGCAGTCACCATGTTGTCCATTTGGTAAAGGTCTTCCTTTCTTTTCCCAACTGTCTAACATTTCAAGGATAATGTAAGCAATAGCTGCTTCTAGTAGCATGCCCAGCGTATGTGAGATGAAGCGTTACTCTCCTTGTCTTTAAGGAATCTCTGGCTGTACTTTCTCCAAGACATATTTGTGCTTAGCATCATGTTTTGAGCCACATAATAGTGTTATTTTACTGATCTAACTGGGCGACCTGGCTGAAAGAAAAAATCAGAAGAATCTCTATTTGTGTTTAACTGACTACGTGAAAGCATTTGACTGTGTGTATAATAATATAATAACAGATTATGGTTCATGTTCAGAAGAATGGGAATCCCAGACATGTAATTTTGTTTATATGAAATCTATACTTTGACCAAGAAGCTGTTGTCTGAACAAGGCAAGGAAACACTGCGTGGTTTAAAATCAGGAAGGTTATGCATCAGGGTTGTATCCTTTCTTCATATCTATTCAGTATGTATGCTGAACAAATAATTTGTGAACCTGAATGTTTTTAATGAGGACTTGCATTTATTTGGCCCTAAATCTCATGCTTAACCGATTTGAGGAGTAGTCAGTATCAACTTAAATCAGCTGGTAAAATAAACGCTGTTGTGTGCCATTGAGACAGAAGCTACTCATATCTAATAACCCTCCAGTGAGTTTTTCAGAGGCAATAAATTGCAAGGGAAGAAACTGCCCCTTCTTCCTCAGAGCAACTGGTGGATTCAAACCATGTGCCTTTAGAGCTGCCGTGTAGCTCCTTGCCACTAGGCCACCAAAACTTGCTATGTTCTGAAAATCAGTTGTTGCTAAGTTGATTCTGAATCACTGCAATACCTTGTGTGTGTTAGAGTAAAAATGCATACAGATCTCAATGGCTACTTTAAAAAAATTTTTTTATTATTAATTTTAATGAAAATTTACAGAGACTTTGGATTTCCTTCGTTTATTGTTGCACCTTTCTCCCTCCCCCACTCCCCCGCAGTACACTCTTCTCTTTGAAAAGTAAAAGAAAAATTGTCTCATTGTTTTACAGTCCCTCCCCCCCAGGTCCACTCCACTATGCAGCCTTCATTCTGGACTCCCATCATGACAAAAATACCTAATCACATATCCATTTAAAACCGTTTTCTTCATCTGTTTCAACACAGTATAAGTTATTTATCCCATCTTTCTCAGTCTCTCCCCAACCCCGATGTCAGTCCTGTTTTACGACAGTGGCTCCATGCAGTATTTGTCCTTTTGTGACTGAGATATTTCACTCAGCATAATGTCCTCCAGGGTCACCCATTTTGAATAATATTTATTTCATGAGTTCCTGTAGATTCCTAGGCCTTTCTTCCAGGGTGCCTTGGGTGAGATCAAACCACCAGGGAGCATATTACCCCTTCACCATCATTTTTTCTTTTTTCAGTTATGCTAACATTTTATATGAAACTAAAAAGTATGACTATTGGGAGTTTGCTACTCAAGTTCACCCTTTTACTAACAGAATTTATTAGATTTCTCTTAGTACAAACTGGATCAGGTGTAGTCTAACCATACATATATTTTCTTAAACTTGGACTGAGGGGTAGGAAATAGCATCATTTAAAGCATAGGGTAATCACTCAAGGTCACAGCTGGTAACTGGGCTAAAATTCAAATTGAAAGCCTTCTAGCCTCAGTTTGTCTTAATGGCCACACACTGTCTCTTCATTGTAAAATTTCATCATCTCTGTTTACAAGAAGAGTAGAATAAGGAGTTTGTATGCTAAGATTTTATATTCAACACTGGATTAAATTACCCTGTTTTTCCAAATGCTTTGTGTCTGTGTAACTATTTAACTATACCCACTACACTTTAATGGATTCTGAATCAGTAACCTTCTCATCAAGAGTCTGAAGCTCTAGGGAGAACTACCATCTTTTTCCCACTGAGTGGCTATTCCTAGAGAATATTTCAAGAGAGCATTATTTTCAAATAGATGGCTAGTGCCGTGTCCTCCCCAGTCTGTTTAGTCTGGACTCTCCACTTAAAACCTGTCCACTATGAGTGAGCTTGCTGTTTTTGAAGCACCAGTAGCATAGCTTCCAACATTACAAAAGTAATTAGCAAGACACCATAGTACAGCAAGCAGGTAAGTAGTGGTTAATAATAAGCATGAAAGTATACAGAAAAATGATAGCACATACAAATGTATCTGTATCTCACTGCAGTTAGGTTAATACATATATGATACAGATTTTAATATGTTAAAATACCAGTGACAAGCCTTAAAGCAACAACTGAATTTTTTCCAAGTAAAAAAATTATTAACTGGTTTTTGGTACTGTTAATTATGGCTTGTAATTACCCCATGTGACAGTAGAACTGCCCCTTAGCGTTTTCTTGGTCATGAGCTTTCAGGTGGTCTAGTGGAAAGGAGTTGCGCTGCTAACCCAGGGCACAAGGTTAGAATCCAACAGCTGCTCTGAGGGAGAAAAATGAACAATTTCCTCATGCAATTTGCAGCCTCTGAAAACCTGCTAGAGGGTCAACTGTTAACTGCTTTTGACTTTATGGTACATAACAACAACAGTCTTTATAGAAGCAGATCATGAGGTCTTTCTTTCTCCAAAAGATTAAAATGTAATAGAAAATATTCATTTAATGTAAGAGTAAACTATAAAGGAATGAAAATGGCCTGAGGCAGAAAACAAAGTAAATAGCAAATGTAAATCCCATTATATCAGTAGCATTAGATGTAAATGGCAATACACTCAAAAGGCAGAGATTATTACGATGGATAAAAAATTTCAACACTGTGTTGTCTGTGAGAAATATTCTTCAGTCCTCGCATAGTATTTGATGTGACTAATTCAAAGTGTGCAAAGCCAATCCATCTCATCTTCCTTAGTGCCTAGAATGTTGATGTTCATGCATTCCATTTCCTTTTTCACTTCTAGTTTTTCAACATTTGCACCTTGTAAATTCCATGTCTGACCATAAAACTTCCAGTACCTCTAATAATACTATATATAATATCTGTGTTCCTCCACTGTTCATAGGGTTTTCAGAGGCCTGCTCTTTAAGAAGTGGATGGCCAATCCCACTACCTAGTCTTTCTATATCTAGGAGATCTACTAAACCCTGTCCACCATGGGTGACCGACCCTTCTGACATTTGACACACCAGTGGGATAGCTTTCAGTGTTACTTTAGAACACAAACTGACAAGTGCTGCACTAATAAGCATAATGATAAATAGGCAAGAATATAGATACTTGAGTTATAAAGTAATTCGCAGTATGCAGATCATGCCCCCAATACAACAAACAAGTGATGTACCTCAAAACAGCAAATCAGGCATACAGATGTCATGTTGCTGGATCCATCTGAAGCCTGTAGTGGCGTGGCAAGATGGTTCTCCAGGTCAGATGGATCCTTATTTAAAGCAAAGACTACCAGAATAATGCCTATTTGTGCATTATTGACTGTGCAAAGACATTTGACTGTGTGGATCATAACAAATTATGTCTAACATTGCGAAAAATGGAAATCTCAGAAGACTTAATTGTGCTCATGTGAAACCTATACCTAGACCAAGAGGCTGTTTTGACCACAGAGCAAGAGAACACTATGTGGTTAAAATTAAGA